TCGTTTAGGTTTAAATGTTTTTCCTTTTTTTCTAAATAAAATGTATATTTACTTTGCATTATTGCCAACTTAAATATTAATAAATCCTATTATTTATTTAAAACTTTTAATTTATTACTTCCTTATAATTAATTAGAATTAACGTTTTAAATTTCTATTTATCCGTATTTCATTTACACCAATAATTCTATTGCTCGGCATTATTGCAACTTAACAATTCCACTGACGTGGTGCATTGAACTTTACTGAACCTCTGTGATTTAATAAAACTGCTTAGTTTGCATTTTTATGTAATATTAATACCTATTATTTCTAGAAACTTTTTACTTCACATTCATCTGTGGTACTCACAACATCAACAGTTTTAATAAGCGGTTGCTCTTGTTTATATTTGAATCTCTCAATTTCAAATCTCTTTGAAGATGTTCGCGTGTGATAAGTGTCAAAAGTCATTCAGCGCCAAAAGGAGTCTCGATCGGCACACGCGACATTCGCATACTAATAACACTAGGAACGAGTGTTCTTTATGCGATCAATCTTTTTCGAGATTCGACAATTTTCAAAGACATAAAAGATTAGTGCATGGTTTAGAAGTTGGTCCTCAGCGTCAAATTAATACTAAATTCGAAGTTATTACGCAATTCGCCGATTTTAATAAAACTTATGATGAGATGGTGGCTAGTATTAACCATCAAGCTGAAGAGTTTCAGGAGAGGGGGTCCGGTTGGGCCTTCTTTTCTATTTCATACCTGCTTCTAAACATAAACAAATTCCAACCAATACCCGGCTCGTCGTACATCCCGCTTCCTGAATCAATCGCTACTAAGAAAGCGTGCATTAACATCAAAAACTACGATGACAACGCTTGCTTAGCTTGGTGTCTGGTATCTTATCTGCGGCCGGCTGAACGTCGTCGAAACTTAACATCATCGTACCCGCACTTTTCAACCGTATTAAATTTAAAAGATATAAACTTTCCCGTGCATTTAAAAGACATTCCTAAAATTGAACAATTAAATAATTTAAGTATAAATATTTATGAACTAGTTAAATCATCCAAAGAATACGTGGTGGAAGGACCAATTTATTTTACAAAAAATCGACAGGATACCCATATAAGTTTACTTTATTTATATGAAAATGGGCACGGACAATACGTTTTAATTGTAAATCTATCACGTTTGATTTCTAAACAAGTATACAACCACGGTCATTCTGTACACCTTTGCGATGGTTGTTTAACACGCTTTTCCACACAAAAGTTGTTAAACGATCATCAACTGCATGATTGTAATCATATTAAAACCNATATCCTTTATTATTATTATTATTATGCATTGATCTTGTAACCTTCTTGATCGGTAATACCCTTAGCGAGCCGGGTAGGTAAAAAAAACGTTGAGGAGCAAGCCCGCTTCTAACTCCACCACAACGGAAGGCCATGCGCAGCTCGTAAGACGTTTTCCATGAACAATAAATAGGGTAAAAGGAGTAAATCCAACTCAACTTCGAATAAATTTTTTCTTTGGTTGAAACTCACAGAGACCGAAAGAAAAAAAACACAGACATTGCGCGCGGTTTACGTTTGACACGTTCGGTTTCTAAAGTAAAACTGATTATGAGTTACGCGATAGACCTAATCCATGAGCGTAATAATGCAGGTATCGAAAGCGAAACAAACTATAGTTGAAGAACTTCATCGTCCCGCTAGACGTTTATTTCCTAGACGAAGAACTATACTGAAGGGGATCGATGATTTATGGCAAGCTGATCTTATTGAAATGATTGAATTTGGTAAAATCAATGTTGGACATAAATACATCTTAGTGGTTATCGATTGTTTTTCAAAGTATCTCTGGATGCGTCCGTTAAAAGATTAATCTTTAACGGATGTAATACACGCGTTACGTTCAATTCTCTCTGAAGGTAGTGTACCTAAAAATCTACAAACAGATCAGGGAAAGGAATTTTACAATACACACTTCAAAAAGTTGATGATGGAATTTAAAATTAATCATTATTCAACGTATAGCGTAATGAAGGCTGCAATAGCTGAACGCGTAATTAGAACCATAAAACAAAAGTTGTATAAAATGTTTAGTCTTTACGGAAATCATAAATGGTTACACTTATTGGATGCTATTACAACTCAATATAATAATTCAAAGCATTCAACCACGAAAATGAAACCATCTCAAATAAATTCGAAATCTGTAGAAAATAAACTTCTCAATACGGTGTACAATCATATTAAAATTGCCGGTAAGGGAAACTTTAATGTTGGAGATGTAGTTCGCATTAGCAAGCATAAGCATGTCTTCGATAAGGGATATTTACCCAACTGGACCACTGAGTTATTTAAAATAATTAAAACACAAATTACGAATCCAATTTCTTATTTATTAGAAGATATGAATGGACAACCTATTAAAGGAGCTTTTTATGAATTCGAACTTCAAAGATCCAAACAACCTGATGTGTATCTTGTTGAAAAAGTGTTAAAGAGAAGAAAAAATCAAGTGTTCCTTAAGTGGTTAGGATTCGATTCATCCCATAACAGTTGGATACCGAAAGACAATATCGTTTAGGTTTAAATGTTTTTTTCTAAGTAAAACGTATATTTACTTTGCATTATTGTCAACTTAAATATTAATAAATCTTATTATTTATTTAAAACTTTTAATTTATTACATCCTTATAATTAATTAGCGTTTTAAATTTCTATTTATCCGTATTTCATTTACACGAATAATTCTATTGCTCAGCATTATTGTAACCACAATGTAATTTAACACTTCCACTGACGTGGTGCATTGAATTTTACTGAACCTCGGTGATTTAATAAAAACTGCTTAGTTTGCATTTTTATGTAATATAAATACCTATTATTTCTAGAAACGTTTTACTTCTCATTCATCTGTGGTACTTGCAACATCAACAGTTTTAATAAGCGGTTACTCTCGTTAAAGTTTATATTTGACACTCTCAACTTCAAATCTCTTTAAAGATGTTCGCGTGCGATCGGCACACGCGACATTCGCATACTAATTACGTTAGGAACGAGTGTTCTTTATACGATAAATCTTTTTCGAGATTCGACAATTTTCAAAGACATAAAAGATTAGTGCATGGTTTAGAAGTTGGTCCTCAGCGTCAAGCGCCACCTCCAGCAATGGCAAATTATTCGAACGCGAAACCCATCGATGTACCACCATCTACATCATCGGCGGTGAGGTCAATTTTGCAACCTTCTAAACGTCTTCCTCAGCCGCTATCGGGTGATAATGGTTTAGAAGTTGGTCCTCAGCGTCAAGCGCCACCTCCAGCAATGGCAAATTATTCGAAAGCGAACTCCACCATCGATGTACCACCATCTACATCATCGGCGGTGAGGTCAATTTTGCAACCTTCTGAACGTCTTCCTCAACCGCTGTTGGGTGATAATGGTTTAGAAGTTGGTCCTCAGCGTCAAGCGTCACCTCCAGCAATGGCAAATTGTTCGAAAGCAAAATCCACCATCGATGTACCACCATCTACATCATCGGCGCCGGCGGTAAGGTCAATTTTGCAACCTTCTAAACATCTTCCTCAACCGCTATCGGGTGATAATAGATCAAAGGTATGCGATTTGTGCGGAATTTCTTTCATGAATCATATGGCTTTAGAGTCCCATCTCAGGATGAATCATACGATAGAGGTTGAGAAAGGTGTTGAGAAGATTGCAACTTGTTACAAAGATCGAGTTGTGTCTTATAACATATCTGGAGGTCATGATGATGATATCTCCACATATCTAGCGCGTACCCGAAATACTGTCGGAAATATTATTACACCTTACATGAACCTGAACGGCTCGGTGAAGGTGCAACTCGAGCTTTTATCCATTTTTATTAAAACAACAATTAATGAAAATGGAGAGGACCGTTACCGCGTCCGAAAAGAATTTTAATAATAAATTCGAAGTAATTACACAATTCGCCGATTTTAATGAAACTTATGATGAGATGGTGGCAAGTATTAACCATCAAGCTGAAGAGTTTCAGGAGAGGGGATCCGGTTGGGCCTTCTTTTCTATTTCATACCTTCTTCTAAACATAAACAAATTCCAACCAATACCCGGCTCGTCATACATCCCGCTTCCAGAATCAATCGCTACTAAGAAAGCGTGCATTAACATCAAAAACTACGATGACAACGCTTGCTTAGCTTGGTGTCTGGTATCTTATCTGCGGCCGGCTGAACGTCGTCGAAATTTAACATCATCGTACCCACACTTTTCAACAATATTAAATTTAAATGATATAAACTTTCCCGTTCATTTAAAAGATATCCCTAAAATTGAACAATTAAATAATTTAAGTGTAAATATTTATGAACTAGTTAAATCATCCAAAGAATACGTGGTGGAAGGACCAATTTATTTTACAAAAAATCGACGGGATACCCATATAAATTTACTTTATTTATATGAAAATGGACACGGACATTACGTTTTAATTGTAAATCTTTCACGTTTGATTTCGAAACAAGTATACAACCACGGTCATTCTGTACACCTTTGCGATGGTTGTTTAACACGCTTTTCCACACAAAAGTTGTTAAACGATCATCAACTGCATGATTGTAATCATATTAAAACCATTTTACCATCGAAAAATGTGCGCTCAAAGCCAAACTTTCTAGGTTCGTATACATCTGAAAATATTTTACAATTTAATAATTATAAAAATACTCAAAACGTTCCCTTTGTTATATATACGGATTTTGAATCGATTTTAAAGACGGTAGAGTTTTGCGAACCTTCTACTTCAACATCTTTCACCGAAGCGGTAGATATACACGTGCCGTATAGCTTCGCTTATTATATCGTTTCAACATCCGATGTTAAATATTATAAATTCGAAACGTATACGGGCCTCGATTGTGGTAAAGTTTTTGTTTCAAAATTAATCGAGGACGTTAAATTTATTTACAACAAATATTTAAAATGTATTAAACCAATGCTATCTCTAACCGCTAAAGAGGAACTGAAATTTAATTCAGCTTCGTTATGCCATATTTGTAAGTCACCGTTTGATGGTTTTAATCAGAATAAGGTTCACGACCATTGTCATATTACCGGCAGATTTAGAGGTGCCGCACATTCAACGTGTAACCTTAATTTCAAACTCCCTAATTTCATTCCGATATTTCTTCACAATTTTAGCGGGTATGATTCACACTTATTCGTAAAGGAATTAGCTGATATCGATTCGGAGGGTGGTATCGATGTTTTACCCAACAACAAGGAAAAATACATTAGCTTTAGTAAAAACGTTTTACTAGTAGATCGCGTTAAAAAACAGCACAAAGATGATTTTGAAAACGTCTACATGAAAATGCGCTTTGTAGATTCATTTAGGTTCATGGCATCCTCTCTCGATTCGCACGCCAGCAATCTTGTGGAGGATGACTTTATCCACGATAAAAAATTTTTCATACGTCACGAACAGTTTAAATTGTTAACAAGAAAGGGTATTTTTCCTTATCAGTATATTGATTCTATTGATAGATTGGGTGAAACATCATTACCCTCTAAAGATGCTTTTATGAATAAGCTGATCTTCAATGGTATAAGTGAAGATAAATACAATCATGCGCAAACCGTTTGGCGTACATTCGGGTGTCAAAATTTACGTGAGTATTCTGATCTATATCTAAAGACCGATGTATTTTTACTTGCAGACATCTTTGCAAAGTTTCGAGAGGTTTGTTTTAGTACTTATGGGTTAGACCCTGCCCATTATTATACAGCGCCAGGTTTATCTTGGGATGCTATGCTTAAGTTCACGCAGATCAAACTCGAACTTTTAACAGATATAGATCAGGTACATTTCATTAAAAAGGGAATTCGCGGGGGCATCTCGTTTTGCGATCATCGTCACGCTAAGGGAAATAATAAATATATGACCGATGGTACTTCCAACACCGATTTACCTTCAAATTATTTAATGTATTGGGATGCAAATAACTTCTATGGATGGGCAATGTCTCAATATATGCCCGTTAATGAGTTTGTTTGGTTGGATGCGGCCCAAATTGGAAGTTTCGAATTTAGAAACGTATCCGATACCTCAGATTACGGGTATATATTGGACGTTGATATTGAATATCCGCGCGAATTACACGATTTGCATAACGACCTACCATTTCTAGCCGAAAATATATGCCCGCCAAACTCTAAAAGCGTAAGCGATAAAAGACTTATTCCAAATTTATTTAATAAGAAAAATTATGTAATTCATTATAGAAATTTAAACCATGCCGTCGCTCACGGTCTTATAGTTAGAAAAATTAATCGTATTTTATCTTTTAAACAATCAGCTTGGCTTAAACCTTACATCGACGTTAACACACATTTACGTCAAACTGCCAAAAATAGTTTTGAAAAGGATTTTTTTAAATTAATGAACAATGCGGTTTTCGGTAAAACTATGGAAAATGTAGATAAAAGGGTCGATGTGAGGTTAGTGACAAGTTGGGAGGATATACGTAAGAGAACGGGTAGACCAAAATTAGGGGCACGTAGTCTGCTAAATTAAATTTTAAGAATATAAAAATTTTTACGGAAACATTTTCGGCTATTCAAATGGAACATCTGCATGTGGTTTACGATAAACCCTTATATATAGGGTTTGCAGTTTTGAAAATTTCTAAATTACTCATGTACCAATTTTATTATAATTTTTTGAAACCTAAATTTGGCTCTGAAATTCAATTGTGCTACATTTATACCGACAGCTTCACTGTGTCCATTACTACAGATGATGTGTATGCATTCATTAAAGATAATTTAGAACGCTTCGATACGTCAAATTATCTTCCGGATAATGAGTTTAGCATCCCACTACAAAATAAAGCGGTATTGGGGTTGATGAAAGATGAAAATTCCGGTAGAATCATGTCAGAATTTATTGGTTTACGTTCTAAATTGTACGCTAATAGGGTCTGTTCCGGCCGTATCACTAAAAAGGCTAAAGGTGTAAAGAAGGCTGTAGTTAAACGCAAAATTACCTTTGAACATTATTTGGAATGTTTAACGTCAAAAAGAGATATTTACATGAAACAATACTTGTTCAGAAGTCAAAAGCATAGCATATATACCATGCTACAAAATAAATTGGCTCTTTCATCACGTGATTCGAAACGTTATATTAATGATGATGGGGTGAGTACATTAGCGTGGGGTCACTATCGTATCAACACTCCATTATCATAAATAGTTTATATTTTTTGATTATATAATTGTAAAAAAAGGATTTCAATGGTTGAATTGCGAATCGCGTTTAAATGTAATTTTCTATTCCCTTTATGTTGTAAGTTCAATTCGGCCACTAAGGTATTTACATTACTCCATCGAAATCCTTTTTATTATTTAAATTTTTGATGTAAATCCATTTTAGTTGTAAGTTAAATTCTGCTGTTATTTAGTTGACTTTTAAAAAATTATGTTTAATTGTAAATTTAAATCATATGTGTCTCAGTTACCTTTTAAAAATCGAAGTGTTCACATCGTCGTCATAATGTCTTGGACTGACTTTCGGCTGAAACTGAAGCAGTGTTTAAATACCGATTTCCCAGAAGAAATTACTCAGCTCGATTTGGTACTTGTAGATATACGAGACATCGATGGTGATAAAATAAATGATTCACAATTTGTACAGTTTTGTGAATTTGAAAATAACATATGGAGGGTTTATCGCAAGGGCGATATTCTGTATGTTGGTAGTGATCAAGACTTTGAAGATCATCGAAAATTTAAAGATTTCCTAAAAGTTAATGGATACTTTCCTGATAATGAATCAGCTAAATTAGTTATTGACGACCACATTAATGTTAATGATTTTGAATATATTAACGATTGTTATTATAATTATAACTATTGGCATGTGTATCGTAATGCAAATACTATATTTGTTAATTTTACCGATTGTTAAATTTTGTATATATATTTAATTGTGTATAAACTTTCAAGATGCATATGTATTTGTAATTTTTATTTTAAAATGTTTCAATATATTTAAATTGGGTTAATTGGGAAAATTAAATTGTATTATTTAAACCTTTTCCTTCTTTTATTTAAATGTATTTTTTTTTCACGTACATAATTTTTGTTAATGAAAATGCATTAAAACAATTTTATAATTTGTATTATTTTTTTACTTCCTTAATATTAATTATATATAACATTTCATTTAGATCAATTATTCCATTGCTCAGCATTACTGCAGCCGCGCCACGTCGTTTGTAACTTGACACTTCCGCCGGCGAGGTGCATTGCACTTCACCTTGACGATGCACCGCGTCGATCGTGTAAGTTGACACTTCCTCTCGACGAGGAAAGCATTGTATCGCGTAACTCATAATCAGTTTTATTTTAGAAACCGATCGTGTCAAACGTAAACCGCGCGCAATGTCTCTTTGTTTTTTTTTTCGGTCTCTGTGAGTTTAAACCAAAGAAAAAAATTATTCGAAGTTGAGTTGGATTTACTCCTTTTACCCCATTTATTGTTCACGGAAAATGTCTTACGAGCTGCGAATGGCCTTCCGTTGTGGTGGAGTTAGAAGCGGGCTTGCTTCTCAACGTTTTTTTTTACCTACCCGGCTCGCTAAGGGTATTACCGATCAAGAAGGTTACAAGATCAATGCATAATAATAATAATAATAAAGGATATTGGTAAACAGAAGAAGTAATTGAATTTGTAAAAAAAGTACCATAATATTAAGTTTAATTTAGGAGTAGTAACGGTCGTTACTGTTAGGAACTAAAGTAATTTATTGGGATACACGACCAACACGACAAAGGCTAGATAATTGAAAAGAGGCTTCCTTTTATCTTTACCGAGCTTTCGGAAATTTTATTTTTCCTTCTTCAGAGGTAACTACAATATTGAGACAACAAAAGTTACAATAGTTAACAAAAAACCATATGAACAACTTACAAAAATGGATTGCATAAGGGAACTGAACCAAAGCTAAACATGAGGTCGCAAACTTTGAGCACTAGACATCTCTTATTAAAACTATACTTCTCATAATTTACTAAAGGTGAGTAATTAAAGATCAAACAATACTAAAAATCATTACAAAGTTAATTATGAAACTATTAAAATAAGTATTACTTACAATAAGAACACGTTAAAATTTTTCGTTAAAAGTTAAGACGCAATAAGTCACGTAAGTTTTTTATACCACAAAAACTGGAAAGAAACAAGGCTGACCAACCGTCGTCACGGCAAAACACCAAATACACTAAAAGTAACCACTAGGTGGCGTTGAGAGGGGGAATAAAATTGAAATTATGAAAAAGGAAACAAAAACCGAAAAAGAACTAGAAAACCAAAGAATCACCCTCAATCGATGTTTGATCCCTTCTACCCCAGTCCTTCATAACAAGGTAACTGTAAATAGAACTAAGGTTCTGGGTGTCAGTTCTGAAGTTTAAGGAATTAACCTCTTTATTGATGTAAAACATCTCTAAGAACAATCTCTTTGAATAAATTGATTCCTTATCAACAATCTGAGAATTCTCAAAATTAAAATGGTGACCACTGAGAACATGGTGATGAACCAACGCACTCTTGTTTTCATCTCTAGATTGACAATCACGTTTATGTTGTTTGATCCTAGCATCAAAATACTGACTGGTAGTGCCTATGTAGGTTTTTTCGCAATTATTGCAAGGAACCCTATAAATAACATTAGATTGTAAACCTTTAGGAACCAGATCCTTAGTCCTTGAAAAACAGGTGGATAAAGGCAAAGAATTGCATTTAGCAAACCTAACCGAGTCAAACCTCAGAACTGAAACAAGTTTATCAGTCAGCCTGGGGACGAAGGGAATCTTAACAAAGTGGGTCCGGGGGCCAGGGAGGCTAGATATGTCGTGTTGGTCGTCACCCTCAGAAGGTTGACTAATATTACGATGGTAAGTACCATTATGATAAAGAATTCTATTAACTAGACCTATCGGATACCCGTTGTTGACGAATATATCCCGGAGCTTTTTTAGGTTAGAGTCAAGAAAGCGGACATCAGAGATGGATCTGACACGATTAACCATAGCAACCACAGTGTTCAGTTTCTGATTGAGAGGATGGTTTGAATGAAAGTTAATATATCTCCCCGAATATGTTGGCTTAGTATACCAATTTAAACTAATAGTTTGATCTAAATTTCTTATAACAATAGTATCGAGAAAAGGAACACTAGAGTTAGATTCAGTTTCAACCGTGAACTGTAAATGACTATCAAAGTTGTTGAACACATCCATAACATCGTCGATGCGGTCGACAGGTACAGCGCAAATTATTTCGTCCACGTACTTGTAGATAAAAGGAAAAGAAAACCCAACAAAGGAATACATTGATCGAGAAGATGATCCATCACCATTGTGGCCAAGATGTGGCTCAAAGGACTTCTCATTGGAGTGCCAAATTTTTGACTGTAAATAACATCATTGAAAGTAAATAGCGAAGACTCAAAAAGGAACACTATCAATTGTAAAAACAAATCCATATCAATGGGAGTGACAGAACATACTAGGTCCCAATTTTGTAACAATATATCTCTCACCAAGTTGAGGGGTATGTTGGTGAAGAGAGACACCACATCAAGTGAGATAAGCATAAAGTTAGGAGGGAGTTTTATATCCCTAATTTTCTCTACAAAAGAGAAAGTATCCTTGATATTGTAGGAAGTTCTCTCACTAAAAGAAAGTTTCAGAATACCTGACAGGAACTCTGACAAGTGATATGTGGGGGAACCCACAAACGATATAATAGGTCTCAAGGGACAGTTCACCTTGTGGATCTTCGGCAACCCATAATACTTGGGAATGACACCATTGTTCATCATTGTTCTTATCAATGTATTCCTTTTCTAATAAAATTTTTGAAAATTTATTGTTTCTGTTTTGTATCTTTCAAGTAGGGTCCCTATCCAAAACACAATAAGTGGACTGATCATTAAATAAGTCTAAAGACTTCGATATATATTCTGATTAAAACATAGCTACTGTAACCTGTCCTTTATCTGCTCTTAATATAAGAATCGGGTCCTCTCTTTCGAGACTCAAAAACCTTTTTGCAGAGATCAAACTCCTATTCAAAAACAACTGGGTACTGTTAAGGTGTTGGTGTCCATTAAGAAAATTAGTCATAATGTTTGTAACTTGAGCTCTTTTTTTGTTTTGTAAATTACTAGGCAAAACTTTAATTATAGACTCTACATCTGCCAACAACTTAGAAACAGACAAAGTAGTGGCATCAGAAATTAAGGTAATACATAGGCACTACCAGTCAGTATTTTGATGCTAGTATCAAGCAACATAAACGTGATTGTCAATCTAGAGATGAAAACAAGAGTGCGTTGGTTCATCACCATGCTCTCAGTGGTCACCATTTTAATTTTGAGAATTCTCAGATTGTTGATAAGGAATCAATTTATTCAAAGAGATTGTTCTTAGAGATGTTTTACATCAATANAGAAGAGACAGAGCGAGAAAATTGTTTAATGGAGAAAACTATAAAGCGCGCGTCATCAGTCAACGTAGCGGCAGTAGAAGACGATCCATTCATCGATTATCACCAGTCAATCGAAGGTATTTAGTTCAGTTAAGATACGAAGTGTTAAAGTAATGGACACTTTAAAAGTAACCGATAAGATAAAAACAGATCACTCTATCGTAAGTTATGAATTCCATTCGCATCAACCGTTTGGATCGACCACGTTCGATAACAATGACGAAATTAGAATTTCAATTCCGGAAATAGATAATTATACTTTACCGAGCGAGAGTTATCTATACGTCGAGGGTAGCGTTCGTAAGTTAGCCGCGGACGGAAGTATAACAAAAGATGCCAGCGCAACGGGGCAATTGGTTAACAATCCCGTTGCATTTATGTTTAGCGATATTCGATATCTTATTAACGGAGTACATGTTGATGGTGTGCGGAACGTCGGTATAAGCTCATGCATGAAGGGTTATTTCTCATCTACACAGAACGAGGTGGTGAAATTAGAGAACGCCGGTTGGCACATAAAACCTTGGAAAGATGACGTAGCCGGTGTTTCAAAGGCTTTAGACAAAAATGGAAATTTCGGTCTAAGCGTTCCGCTAAAAACGTTGCTAGGATTCGCAGAAGATTTCAGAAAGATCATGATGAACGTTCGACAGGAACTTGTGCTAATTCGCGGACACGATGATACCGACGTCATCTTTCAACCGGCAGCCGCTCCGAACGACGAAAAATTGAAATTGATCATTAATAAAATTATATGGAGAGTTCCTCACGTAGTGGTTGGATTACGCGAACAGTTGGCATTAACAAAACTATCAGAAAGAAACGTAGACATTCACGTTCCTTTTCGATCGTGGGAAATACACGAGTACCCTCAATTACTTCAAACTACGAAGCAACCTTGGGCCGTCAAAACTGCTCCACAATTGGAAACGCCTAGGTTTATAATAAACGGATTTCAAACAAATGGAAAAGGCATATTTAAGGGAAACATGGCATTATTTGATAATATAAACTTAACGAACGTTTTCTTGAACGGAGAACGTTTTCCGTACGATAATTTGAATGTGGATTTTGATAACAATCACTATGCGATTTTGTATGATATGTATTCAAGATTTCAGCAAGCATACTACTATCAAGAAAGCGAACCTTTGTTTTCACCGGAAGAATTTAAAACTTACGCGCCTAGTTTATGAGGGTAACAGAGCAAAATTTCACGCACTTAGTATCATAATTAACAATTTATGCGCTCTAAACTTCACCACAGAACTCGAATCTAATTTGAAAATTAATTTCCTAGATTTAGAGATAAGAGAAAACAACCAAACCAATAAGCTTGAGTTTAACATCTTCAGAAAACCTACGTGTACTGACTCTATCATCCCTAAACGCCCACACAGTAGTACTCAACACAAATATGCATCATTTAGATTTCTTTTCAATAGATTGATAAATATCCCATTAAATACCAAGGACTACATCTTGGAACTAAAGAAAATTCTAAAAATAGGTTTCAACAATGGTTATAATATGTGCGAGATGCAAAATATATATTTTAATGTCTACAATAGACAAGTTAATAGATTCATCTACCCTCATTACAGATATCAAAATTGTTACATTACTTTGCCTTTTCACCCCTCGCTAATAGAATTAAAAAGAAACTTAAACAAATTAAACATTAATTTGGCCTTCACATCTAATAGCAAATTAGGTCAGCAGTTAATTAATACCAACCACAAATTTGACAATCTAGAGTTAAGTGGACTTTATAAGATTACCTGTGACAGTTGTACTAAATTCTATATAGGACAAACAGGGCGTAATTTAAAAACCAGAGCCAAAGAACATTTATCAAGAATCTCTTCCACATTTTGTAAACATTTAAAAGATGAAAACCACAACTCTAGCATTAACAACATACATCTAATAAAAAGATTAAACAAATCTTGAGAGCTAGACCTAAATGAGGAGTTCCAGATTTTTAAGCATAAAAGACACAAAGAAGATCTAATTCTTAACGAAATTACAGAATTTAATAACAATAGATACTTTATAAAGTTTATTTCTTCAAATGTATAACCTGTTTGTTTGTTCATTTTGGTTGTGTTTCTCCATTTATATTAATTTATTTTATTTACAACTCTGAATAGCTTCCCCCCCTTTTTTAAATAATTGTGACTAATTACTGATGATATTGTCGAGATCCAGGAGACTGGATAGTGACTTTCTTTGCTAAATTTCTGACGGTAATTATTTTAATTAGTTTTTGTTTAGCTTACTAATGAATGTTTTTTCAATACAGTCGTGCCTGAAGACGAGATATTTTCTCAAATCATATGTAGCACCAATATCATTTAATAAATAATTTTTTCATCGTACTTATTCGAAAGTTTATTATTGTTAATATCGAAGGAAACGTTTGCATATAGTGGTTTATTATTATTATTATGGTTTTTCAAAGGGATTTTATTATTTTGGACATTCAAGGTTTCACGGTGAACGATGAAGAAGTTATCCCAAAGGAACTGGCTTCTTACGACAGTAATCATTGTATAAGTCATTACGTGTTTCAACCTAGTCGAAGCTTTTCTTCCCTATCTACCAAATTTCGCAATACGACGAATTGGTTAATGAGTCATTATCATTGTATTGATTGGAACGACGGGTTTGTTCCTGCGTCTCGTTTCGATGAGATCGTTTGTTATTTGTGCCGTTCAACAAAAGTAGCGTACGTAAAAGGACGTGAGAAAGCTACATTAAAAGAATTAAATTATTATTCCGGTAAAAGAATTGCCGGAAAATGAATGCAAATTGGAGGTTGGTGCGCCGATGTGTCCCTATCATAAAAAGAGACCAAGTATGTGCTCCTTATCGAATGTTTTTTATTTATTTTCATACGTATTCAGACATCTATAACTATATGTAAACGAATTGAGAAAGGCAGACGGGTAGTAGCGGTAGAGCAGTTCAAGATGGAACGTCTTTGGCGGTTAGTTACCAGATTGGGACTTTCAACTTTTATAATTAATAAAGTGTGGGATATTATGGAAAGATACGAATCTGATTTATCTTTTGCGAATATTAAAAACTACGAATTATGTTATTTACCAATCGATTATTATATCAATAAAGTAAAGCCATTAGATTTGGCGGCGGTTTGGTTTAAATTACCGTTGAAGTATAGAAACGATGAGCGATTACAAAGCAAGCTGCCCTGTTTTGAACATTATAATTTGCCTCATTGGGAAACGCATATTGATGGTCCACCATCGGCAAGAAAGGATTGTTCTTTATGTATGGTTTAGTATATAAACATTGTCAGTTATAGATTGTAAATTAATAATAATAAAAGATTGTAAAAAGTGTAAAAAGTTGTTTTAATTTAAAAGAAAAAATAGTTAATCTAAATGAATACATGGTATGTATACATTGGGTTGGGTTGGTATGACTTGGGTTGTACATTGAAAAAG